TTATTGAGACTTTTCATCGAGGAGCTATATCCTTTGAGTAAAAATTTGCTCAACTAGCCCCGCTATACCCTACGTGTATGATATCGGGTATAAAGTCGATATTTGTGAATCATCTTACAATTTGATTAAAACATCACAATAGTTTTATAACTAACTTCAATTTAACAATATCTCAATCTCAATGAGCAATAGTGCCAAACAGATAAAACGTATATTAAAACTAGTTGGAAGTGGCATTTTAGACAAAAGACAAAGTTGCATGAACTTCTCGAAATGTTTAATAATTGACTCAATCGACCAAAATTTAGATTAAAATGTATAGATAAATTATTAAATTTAAACATTATCATTTCCATTTGATATTTCTCTAACACATTTATTATAATTTAATTATAGTAATTATAGTGCGAAAAACGTGCTCGTATATCCTAAAATTCTACTATTTTTCCAAATTATGGCTTGGTCGATTTTTTTGCAAACCTAATCGCGTCTCATCCTAATCGAATTCATTCCAATAGTTTTCAAATTTGTGCAATTCAAATTTTGACTTATCACATCACAAAAATACTTTTTACCAATTCATATATTTTTTCATACTTTGATGAATTTTTAAAATTAAACTATTGTCGCAGGGCCGTAATATTTTAGTATGTTATTTTAGGACTATGATAACTGTGAACAAAAAAGTTTCATCGCATAGTTACTATATAACATCTTTCGAATAGTTTTTGAAGTTTAATATCAATTCAGAATTTGAGAAATGCTAATACTTATCGAGTTACATCAAATGGCTTACATCGAAATTTTTGAAATCGGTTAAGCCGTTTTTGAGAAAACGTAGACGAAAGGTCAAAAATCGGCTGACACACAAATCCATACATACACACACATATACTTTTTCCAAATTTGTTCTCATTCGATTCAGAACGGCTTGAGACGTCGAGAAAACATAAAAAGAGAAGTTTGTTTCATCAAAAAATCCGAATCGCTAATTTTATGTTTTCGACGTTTCAAGCCATTCTGAAGCGAATGAGACCAAATTTGGAAAAAGTATGTGTGCGTGTGTGCGTGTATGTGAACAGATTTTTTGCCGTAGATCGACGTTTTCTCGAAAACGGCTGGACCGATTTCAAAAATTTAAAAGCCATTCGATGTATCTCGATGAGGACTATTGTTTGTCAGTTGTGCGACGATCGGTTTCTTCATAAATCGCAGAAAAGTGAAAAATACTCCGAGTTAACGTGTTCGTTCGTTCGTTTCCAATGATGTGTAATAAATCCACTCGGAATACTTATAATCACTCATAAATCAATTTATTTTTTTTATTGATTAAGTCGATCATTTACACATTTCGGGAAGTTCATGTAACTTGCCTCAAGGCAAAATACCAACTAGTTTTACATTTGGATCCCACGATATACCTCGAAATGATAATTACTTAAAATTTTTAACTTCCCGAAGGAGAAGTTTATGTTTTCATCAAAAAAATCCGACTCGCTAATTTGTTTTCTCGGCGTTTCCAGCCATTCTGAATCGAATGAGACCAAATTTGGAAAAAGTATGTGTGTGTATGTATGTATGTGTGAACAGATTTTTTCACAATTAATGTTGTCATAAGAACAACCTCATCATTTCGACAACGGTTTCTAATTGTAAGTATATTTTAATGGCATATTTCCAAGGGTATATTGCAGGATTTCAGATACGATCTTGTTCAAAAATTGCATAGAGATAATTGGTATATGGTAGAATCGTTAAAGCATTATTAGGATGTAGTGTATATCGCCTATAAAAAATTTAAGGGGTGAACTTTATGTTACGCCTCTGTGCACGTGCCAAACACGTGATAACAATTGCACAAAAACGTATCACATATAATATCTAACATTTTTTTTGCATTAAGCATTATTAATTTATAAAATACGATTTATCGCTTCAGCAGTGGCAGAAACGTTCTATGTTTTGTAGTTATATTTGTTTTTGTAAAATAACTAATCTTTATTACTCGAATTTTTATTTTGAAATAAACCTACATTTGGAATAGAACATTATAGTATATCGTAATGGAATTAACGATTTAAAATTTGTCATTATGCTTATGAGCTATATGATATAACATATTTACTCGCCGACATTTATTAACTTTGTTTATTCACATAAATGTACTTTTCAACTTCCCGTAGAGTAAGTTATATAGTGATCTCAATGAAAGTTTTTGCATATTTTTACGTTTCAAGACCTAAACATTTTGGCATATCATAGCGAAAGAAATGCGTTAAGGCATTCCAGGTTATTTTGTTTTTTATAAATCAGGACTCCGACTAGTTTAAAATTGTAGCACAACAACTAACACTATTTATACTAAAACAAAGATTCCTATATCGAATGTCTTGAATGAAATTTGTTCTACCAAATTAACTGTCCACACTGCAAAAATCAATTAGCCAAAACTTGGTTTGTAAAACGACTTCAACTCAAAAACAATTTTAAAAATCCTAAACAATTTAAAACCATGCTAACGAACCACATCAAAATGTAGAATTTTTACCCGAGCATACTCCATTTTGAGGAAAATTTATTGCAATAAATAAAATGACCTCAGTCTGATGTGCGAATCCAATATCTGTTATCTGGACAGTATTTCCAGATTGCTTCCAAGGCAATGAAAAACGTGCAAATACCCCAATCAAAATTAGTTTCATACCATGTTGGAATCTTGGTAATTTTTTTTAATCTTTTATTCATTAAGTCACCAGCTAGTTCATATATATTACAACATTATTTGTGAAAATTGAAATAAAAATTTAGTTTTTAACTTCCCGTAGGGTAAGTTATAGTAATCGCAAAAACTCCAAAATGAAAATTTTGATGTATCTTTACGTTTTAGGACCTTCTGAACATTTTGGCATACATAGAAAAAAATAATTGGATAAAAAAATTTGTCCACGATTTTGGGCGCACGGATCAACCAATTTGATCCGTGAATATTCGATGTCTTGATGAGGAAATGTGCTGATTAGTTTTTGAGGAAGGCGGGTCCAGCGGCTTGGGAGTTATGGAGCAAAAAGTGCTAAAAATGTAAGTTTTCAAGAGAACGGATCAACCGATTTAAATTATTCAAAAAACATTTGATTCATATTGACGAGGTGGTGCGCTGGTTAGTGCTTGAAAACACAGATTCAGCCGTTTCGGAGATACGGAGAAAAAGGGCTAAAATTTCAGTTTTTGAGAAAGCGCAGCATCTGACTCGAATGAAACAAAAACATTTTGTTTGTTTGAAGAAACTATTAGTTTTTTGGAAAAACAAAAAAAAATAATTTAGAAATTTAAAAAAAAAAAAAAAATCAAATATAGTATTTCAATTATAACTCACTATATAAATAATTTTAACTTTGCGTTTCAGTATACATAATTCTTATGTTAGAAAAATAAAATAAGATTCTTTAGATCGAACTCCGCTTATTATTATTTTTTTTTTGCTCTTCTTGTAAACATATTTATAATATACGTTGTCATAAAATGTATAATGTATAAACTCTATATTTTCTAGTCTATAAAATACGAATAATGAAAGTTGCAATATTTAAATAACATATATAATGACTTATTGGAAAACATGTAAAAATTTTCGACTACTTCATTAAGGTACGGAAAGTTCCTGCAATGGTACGCTTATTAAAACAAAATCTGGTCTAGTTTTTGCAAAGAATAAAGATGACTGGCAAATAGCCTTTAAACAAATACCAAAACATTTGAAGGAATTGGAAACACAAGGATACAAGCTTGTTATATTTACTAACCAAGCAGGCATTGGTAAAGGAAAAACTGACCCCAAAGAATTTAAGGGCAAGGTTGAAGCAATTTTAAATAAGTTAAATATTCCAATGCAAGTTTTTATTTCAACCACAAAAGAAATTTATAGAAAACCACTTACTGGTATGTGGAAAAAGCTGACAGAACAGAAAAGTTGTGGAGTTTCTGTATCCAAAGCAGATTGTTTTTATTGTGGTGATGCAGCTGGTAGACCAGATATATGGGCACTTGGCAAAAAAAAAGACTTTTCTGCTGCAGATAGATTAATGGCAAAAAATCTGGGAATTTCATTTTACACACCTCAAGAACACTTTGAAAAAGCAAAAGTAGTACAGTGGAATAAACCAGGATTTGATCCTCCTTCCTTAAAAAATTTGAATATTTCTAGATTTGACCCACCTAATGCAAAACTAATTCAAAGTGAACAAGAGGTTATTGTTTTAGTGGGTTGTCCAGGGTCCGGAAAATCTTTCATCAGCAAAGAACTTGTACAACCTGGATATGTTCATGTAAATCGTGATACATGGGTAGTTGGCAAAAATGTGTTGCAGCAATGAACAATGCTTTGCAGAATGGCAAAAGTGTGGTTGTGGATAATACAAATGCAGATAAAGAATCTCGCAACCGCTACATTGTTGGGGCTGGAAAAGTAAAAGTTCGTTGCGGTGTGATCATTGCAGACATAATAATATATTCAGAGAACTAACGGATAAAACACATGAGGAAATTAAAGATATGATACTTTTTTCTTATAGAAAAAATTTTGTTGAACCAACATTAAGTGAAGGTTTTGCAGAAATATTTAAGATAAATTTTATTCCACAATTTGATAATAAAGAACATGAAGAACTGTATTATATGTATTTATTGGAGAAATAAAATTGTAGAAATGTGCTTTAAGGCGCGATGCCATCACCACTAGTAGTTTTCATAGATAAACAAGGTATGAATTCATCATATTCTAATATTGTCTAGGCAATGTGTCTAATTAAAAAATATTCATGTAATATAATAGTTGACCTGTGTTGCCTGGCAAATACAAATTTACCGCCAATACTGTCGGATGCGGAAAACGATGCCGTGTGCAAGCATGCGCGTATGACGTTGACAGCCAAGTGACAGCTAGCTTTGACATCTTCGTCAATCCGCATTAAATTAACCTCACTTTATACAAATGTGCTCATGTGAATCTGGAATAAATAAATTAATAAAATATGCCTGTATATCACGATGAAATAGAAATTGAAGATTTCGAATTCGACGAAGAAGACAATACTTACTATTACCCATGTCCTTGTGGAGATAGTTTTCAAGTTACTAAGGTATTTTAGCGGCATGTGATTTTCACTTATTTCCTCTAAAATGAATTTACTTAATATTTCATACAGTAAAATTACTTTAGGAAGAATTACAATCAGGTGTGGAAATCGCCACTTGCCCCAGCTGTTCCTTGGTTATCAAAATAATCTACGACATTGTAAGTATACATATTATTTATTTATTTACTCAATGCACATGGCAACTATGCAATATAATTGCATTTTTATAAATTGCAAACTAAGAAATAAAAACTAAAGAAAACAGATGAGAAAATTTTAAATTCATAAACAGCTTTTAAAATATATACACAACACTTAATATAAACTACAAATATGCAACGATAAATAGACACTACTATATGAAACTCTTAATAACTTTAATTGTTTGTTATGATAGTCATTTGAGGATAAATTTTTTTACTTTTAATATTTGTTACTGACAGTCTAAATACATGAATCTGAGATATTATATCATATATAATAAATCTTTAACATATATAATATTCTGATCATTGGAGCTATAATTTGACTTCGATTACTAAGAGGTCTTTTTAATTAAAATTGACTTTATTTTGTTAGAACTGTATTAAATTGCCTTTATTATATATATATATATATATATATATATATATATATATATATATATATATGTCTACTTATTTGCTTCTTTTGTAAAAATTGCTTGATGTGTACTATTATTTTCTAACTCAAGTTAATTTAGGATATGATTATTATGATACTTTTGTCCATTTTATTTGCCAGTGAATCCTTTTTATATTATTATAATACCAATTTGTACACAGTTGCTTTGGTTAATTCGATCTTTAGCATTGCATTAATTGCTTTTGGTTTTTTATGATGATCGTGGCTCATAAAGCTTTTCATTATTGATTGTTTGCATTACATTTTCTTTAATAAATATACAATGTATCTTTAGTATTATTAAGGAACTGGGTTGCTAGTTATCTTGCGTTTGCGAGCCAATGATTTACTAAAGATTGTCAATTTTTCTTTAAAATCAGATAAACTAAAATCATTATAAACAGAAGTGTTTTTCGATTATATAATTATATTTTTGAAATTCAGTGATTGTTATGACTCATTGTCAGCCATAGAAAATATATAAAATAAGTTATTCTAAGAAATAAATTTACTTAAAGTTATCTTCTAAAATTTTAAATACTGTATATAATCATTATATATATATCAATATTCATATTACTATTACCCAAATAATCATTCATATTAATATATAATCACATACATATCTCAGTATTTATATTAAATAAATATTAGTATGAATTGAATAGTTTTTTTTTGTTTTTAGGACAACTTCAAAAAGAATTAGAAGAAGAAATTGAACCTTCTAGAAATACTTCAAAGACCATTGAATCAAATTAGCACCGAATGAAAATATTTTTTTTTTACTTATATATATATTTTTATAAATTTTGAAGAATTATGGCAGGCCGAGGTAGAGGTAGAGGTAGGGGTGGCCCTGGTAGCAGCATGAGTTTTACATCTGATCAATTAAACGCAATGGGTTTAAGTGGACCTGCTTTAAGAGCAGAATTAAACCAAGCCATTATTGGACCTCCATTAACTTTTCCACCATTGATGAATAAAGCTCCTCCTGTCACAGTATGTCAATCAACTATATATTTAACTGTTATTATTATTAACTATACATCAACTATATATTTAATATTAAAGTTATGTAAACAGGTATTCAAATAATATGTAGATTGTTTCTCAAATCTTTCTCAAATTTGATTATAAATTGAAAAGTTTGTATGAATATTAAATTCATTGTTTCATATAAGCATATTTGTTGTATATATCATTTTCAGATATTTTATGCGTAATTGTAATTTTATTACCAGGATTGGTTTGCAAAGATTAAATTTGAGCCTATATATTTCGAAAACGCGGGTCAAAAGTTCTAAATTCAGGACAATTGTTGCTCTTAAAAAAAAAACTGATAGTAGGTTAAAAACATGCTTTACCCAGATCACCTTACTGTTGCTTCATATTTTTACTTTTAAAGACAAATGCACTCTTTTGTGAAATTAACTATCTGTTTGGTTATGTGAATATGTTATAAAAGACATATATTAAATAATTTGTTATACATTGGTCAAATTATTAATTGTTTGACTATTACAGATTAGTCCCTTAGAAGAATATATATTGATGTTAAAAAGAGAATTAAATGAATATTACAAAGAGAATGCTATCATGCCTAAGAGTAAAACTGTAGAGAAGTCCATTGTTCAGCCTTATGGTAATCGATATGCTGTGAGTATATGTAATTTATTTGTCGGAAATCAGTTGAATAACTTCATTGCTTCTAGGAAATTCTAAACAAAACACAAGAATGTACATTTGTTTGGAAACATTTGCCATTAGAACTGAAACCAGGAGGAATTAAGAATAGGCAAAATATTAAATTAAATGCTAAGAAAACAAAGACAATTGACATTAACTCCAGGTGAGTTTTTTCAAGCTATCCATATTTATAATATTGTAGCATTGTATAATTGAAATAATGTCGTCTTATAAGGTTATATGCCTATTTGATGAATTTGTAATATGTCTCCATAGGAGGTTTTAAATTGAATACGGTAGAAAAAATAAATCCATCAACATTTGCTCTAAATAGTATAAATGCAAAAAATATGCTTGCAGAATATATGCAATGAACTCACTTATATGTAAAAATGTGATTATCAATGACTTAAAAAAACGTATTTACGTTTATGAAAGAAAATATGTTCATTAAATATAATAGATTAATTTCCAATCTAACTTCCATATATCATGCACCCAAGCAAGTCGGGTTAATTGACCCATTATTATGTGTTAATGAAGCTGATTTCCTAATTGGCTTTAGTTTTTTTTACTTAATGTTATTCGTCTAATCAACACACTCATAATATATACAGGTAACCCCCGCATAACGCGGTAGTTAAGTTCCAAATTACGAATCCGTGTTATACGGAACAAAGAACTAGTACAAAAAGAGGGGTTACGTTTCAAGAATTCAAAAAAAACAAGCTACAAATCATGATTTTATAATAAATATTGTTATATTTATTGATTTTATAAGGAGTAATGTACATTACATGAATTATGTTTTTTTTCGTCATAATTAATAAGTAAGTGCTATCCAACACGATCCTTTTTTTGCAAGATATCTCCATCATCCAATCAGTTTTCTACACCTTAGATCCGTGCATTATTTTTTGCAAAAAAATATATTTGTGATTATTGGCTTAGATATTTATATATAAGCAAGAAGATATTTATATATTTACCACATACAAAGTTATCTTTATTTAAATTTTATGCTCATTTTATTTAAAGGATCTTTGTCTAATTGACTAATTGTTTAGATAAGCCTAAAATTTCTATAGAACTATTTTTGCACTAGTTTCATCACATTTATTGAGCTATTGTACTGTGATTTTACTAATTTTAGATTAAATAAAGTTTGATTTGTATAGGTTTTACTATATTTTTTATTTTATGAGAGATTTGCTCAATTGTGAAACCGTGTTAGAGCGAACCCATGCTTCAAAAGTACCGTATTATAAGGAGGATAGTGTCAAATCTTAAACCGTGTTAGAGCGAATCCGTGTTATAGAAGTATCGTATATGCGTGTATATATATATATATATATATATATATATATATATATATATATATATATGGCTTATCATATCCGAAGCCAGATCGGTTAGGATTTGATTCCGCTTCATAGAGTAGTTATATCCACTTAACAACCCCACGACTCTGACAACTTTGAAACGTTTAACTTGACACAAATGTGTTCTATAATGTTTTATTAACATATCTAAGGATTTATTAAAACTTTAGAAATCGTTTACAAATAGTTCAAACATTTTAGATCATTTTTTTAGAATAATTACTGTTTTATGCATACAAATATCAAATTGATGGGTAACCTGGGAATCAAAATCATTTTTATAATTATTTTTGAAGAGAAAATATAGAATTCTTTGAATATGTTTATATTTATATGTAAATAATGCAGTGAACCTTATGCATGAAATAAGAACAAATCTGTGTATAATATTTTTCACAAAATAATACCTCACATTATTTTATTATTTCCTCTCCGAGAATTAATTATACATTTAGGTTACTATTATATTAGCATACTATTACTTTTACACAATAAAATACCATGAAATCATAATTTTGTAAAAGTTATAATAGTAAATATTTTATAGCTGGGGTTGTGTATACCATTGAAAGAGGTCATTTACGGACAAGCATTATTATATACAGAATATAGAATACAAAATAGCATATTTTTGAGACATTATATACCTAAAAAGTCCTAAAACTGGCTGTGAGGCGAGAAAAACACCGCATCTTTCGACCCAAATCTTTGTATTAGTAAAAAATCTCAAGCAAATATCTGCACCAGTTTAGGGAAGTCGGATATGACAAATCCTATGATACAACTCCGCTCGGAGTGAGTTACCAATCTCTCTCTCTCTCTATATATATATATATATATATATATATATATATATATATATATATTATTATATATCGTAATATATATATATATCGATATATATATATATATATATATATATATATATATATATTATATATCGTAATTCAAAAGTGAATGTATTAATGAAAAGTTCAGTAATAATATATTAGGAACTTTGAATCTCGAAATGTGCCAATTCAATTTTAATGCATGCTAATTGCTTGCTTATGGCGTTTCAATTTAATCGTTGACCGCCGAAATTTGTAAATTTTTGGGTGTTCGTTGTGTACACGTGTGCCTTATAATTTTCAGATAGTTTCAAAATTATTCGTCGTTGTCGCCCAAAATTCTAAACTTTCGGGTATTCAAGAACTATTTGAAAAATATCAGTTGGAAATCGTGCTAGTTAGTTTTTGCTAAAAATTGTCTGGTCACTTCATTGTTATTGTTGATTTTTCCGCGGTGTTAATGAAACTTTCCATATTTGTTATTTTAAACTAGTTGGTATTGGTATTTTGCCTTGAGGCAAGTTACACGAACTTCCCTATATGTGTAAATAATCGACTTAATCAATAAAAAATAAATTAATTTGTGAGTGGTTAAAAGTATTCCGAGTGGATTTATTACACATTATTGAAAACACGTTAACTCGAAGTATTTTGTAAAAGCAAATTATCAAAAATCAATAATTTTTATGTTTGAACCAGTTTCCGTAGGACTTCAATGGTTTGGTATGCTCATTAAGACCAAGTACTCTACAGTTATTCAAATAAATAGTCTAATTTTAAATTTAACAAACGTCAAAAAAAAACTACTCATGAATTTTTAAAATTATACTACTTATCGTAAGGCCGTAATATTTCAGTAGGTTCTATAGAACCATGATGTATATCGCCAAAAAAAGTTCCATGAAAATTGGCTTTAATTTTTTTTCAACAGTTAATTACAAGAAAACGGCACGGTAGATTTTCACAAAACTTTCCAAAAACTAATCAGTATTATATCCAACTAATATCTATCGAACAGTTTTTGATTTTTTTTAAATCGATTCGGTAGTATAAGCTTAAATCTGAACGGAAAGTTTAACACTTTTTTACAAATTACAAAGGAACGGCTCGGCCGATCGTCGCACAAAACTGAGAAACGATAATTCTCATCGAGATACATCAAATGGCTTTTAAATTTCTGAAATCGGTTCAGTCATTTTTCAGCAAACGTTGATGAAAACCGATACTAATTTTTGCAATCTTTGGCGAATTGTTAAAGTTTAACGAGTTGTCGTAGGGTCGTAATATTCTAGAGTGATCTATAAGACTATGGTTTTTACCGTCACAAAAATAATAATAATAATCGTCGAAAAAAATTGTTTCTAATACTTTATTATAAGTAAACGTTCTAAATTCAACTTTATTAAAGTTGAACTTAGAACATGTATAATAGAAATTGGAATTCTAATTTATTATTTCTTAATGACAAACGAAGCTTTTGTTCTCAAAATAAGTACATAGTTGAAACCTTAGTAAAATCAATTCTTATTAAATTGATTCAATTAATTACACATATTGGGAAGTTTATGCTTTCTTTAAGGCAAAACGCCTAATTCAAATTTATTATTTTACAATGTTTTCTTTTTCATTACAAATCTGTAATTTGCTTTAACACCAAAAATAGTTATTACTAATTTAAGCAAGTGTTAATTTTTTCCAGACTAAGCATTCTGGAGCAAAATGAATTGCAAGGTGGAAAGAAACGTAAGTTAGATGATGATGATTTAGAATTGTTAAATAAGGAAGATAATGATGTTGAAGACAAAGAAGAAGAACTGGATGAT